AATCTACTGATGTATTAAAAAGTGTGTTTGTACCATGATGTATTTATAAGTGGGGTTAGTTATATTTTTGTAGGCTGTTCTCCAACATCTTTATCTTCTGTTGTATTAGTTCATTATATTTTTGAAATTTATTAGATGATAGCTTATAGATCTTAGCTTATTCAAGAGATTTTTCCAACTTGTCAACCTCCCTTTGAAAATATATATGCCCGTGACAATGAATTCTTGCAGAATATAATATCTTAGTTTATAAAGTCTTAATATAGGACTAGTGTTATAATGCTGGCTGCAGTTTTGTGTCAAAATATAGGTCTAAGTGTTGTTGTTAACCACAATATTTTCACTGGCAGAACATCCTGTTTCCAATGTTGAAGCTACACAAGCAGAATCTGCACCAATAGCCGATTCAGACGGTTAGACTTTAACATTTTACCTGATGAACCTGAACCGATAGCCGCATGTAAATATTGTCACAAAAGATACCGATGCGACCCCAAAACACATGGAACATCCAACATGTTAGCCCACTCAAAAGTGTGTCAGAAAAACCCTAACCTTTTACATAAAGATCCCACTCAAAGAAACCTTGTAAGTGGTGAGGGTGGGTTTTTAGGTTCAACAAGCCAAAGGTTCAATGCTCAAGCATGTAGGAATGCTATTACTTCATTTATACTTATTGATGAGCATTCCTTTTAGGGATGGCAACGGGGCGGGTCGGGGGCGGGTTTAGCTAACCCCGCACCCGCACCCGCAACTCCAATAATAGACCCGCCCCCGCCCCCAAACCCGCCGGGGGATGGAAATTCACCCCCAGACCCGCCCCCAATGGAGAACGGGTCACCCGCACCCCCACCCGCCCCCACCCGTGAAAACTGTTTTTTTTAAATAAAAAAATATCTATTTTTTTTCACAAATTTCCTGGACAGCATTAACAAATACATTAAAAATACAAAATTCGCCATTGATTTGAGTAAATAATTGTAGGATTTAATATTCAAACACCATTCCAAATATTTTTCTATCATAACTCTTCAATCAACTATAATTGGTTGTGAACTTGTGATTCATTAAAAGAGTGTAATCTTTCAATATATCAAAGTATAAATCACTCCCAACAACCAACAATTTTTTTGCAAAGTACAAATACAAAATTAAAACAATACAATCAACAAAATAACCATTCCAACAACATGGAACAAAATAACCATTCCAACAACATGGAACAAAATATATGATATCATCATAACAAAAAAAGATCCAAATAAACAACAAATTTTCTAATAATCTTCATCTTCGAGGCGGGAGTTGGAAATAGAAGTAGCACCATCAATCAACAACTCACCTGTGTTAAAAAATAAAAGTTAAAATATAAAAATTTAACTTGACAAATTTAATACAAATAGTATGAATAATACCTTCATCATCAGACTCCATTTCAGTTAGTAAAATAGCATTTTCATTTTCCACGTTAGATTTCAAATTACCTATCAATATAGTAAAATATAGTCAATGATAGTCTTGGCAAGTAAAAATAAAAAATATAAACAAGATAGATCTTTACCATTATTCTCAGCACTCCATAACCAACTTCTTGCACACATCAAAGCTTCTAAAGTGGTCCAATGAAGTCGACTTCGATGAGGGCTTACGATATGACCACTTGTACTAAATGCGGATTCAGAAGCCACGGTAGAAACAGGAATTGCCAATACATCCCTTGCAATTGCTTGAAGTGTTGGATACTTAATCCCATTCAACTTCCACCATAATAAAATATCAAAATCTGGACTTCTTGGTAAAACTTCCTCTTCCAAATAAACATCCAACTCTGTTTTAACAGATGAAGTTCTAGCTTTTTTTTTCTTATGACATACAAATCATAGTCTTTCAAACCATCATTACTAACATTTCCAACATTAGCATCCAACATTTCAGATTCACTTCTAGAATCCTTGTTCATTTTTAATTGATAATCATAAACTAACTCGTAACACAACTGTCTGATTGACTTAACTTGGGAATCAACATCATTCCCATAGAACACTCCATAATAATATTCAAGCAAATCAGTTTTATACCTAGGATCCAAAACAGCAGCAACCCCCATTATTTCATGAATCACACTCCAATATTTTTCAAACTTTACCAACATATTTTCTGCCATTCTTTTTACCAATTCGTCAGAGGATTCAATCCACTCAAGTAATGAAACTTTAATCTGACAAATCTTAGGGAAGTATTCATTGGCAGTGGGATACTTAGTTCCAGAAAACACTTCAGTGATAGAATTGAACAATTTCAATTTTACACAAATCTCTTTTGCAAATTTCCAATGTAAAGTTGTTGGCAAACAAGTGTACTGAGTTACACGGATTGCTAATCTATTAAATACCTCTTCATACAAAATAGCAACATCAAGCATCTTATAGGTAGAATTCCATCTAGTTGGACAATCTAAAACTAAATTCTTGGTGCAAGGTATTTTTAATTGTTTACATGTCTCCTCAAACCGTTCCTTCCTTTTAGGAGTTGCTGTCCAAAATGCAACGCTATCTCGAATCATCTCTATTCCATCTTTCACAACTTCTAACCCTTCTTTTACTATCAAATTTAGTATATGTGCACAACAACGCATATGAAGTAAGGCCCCGTCCCTTAATAATGTCTCTGGTTTCAACTTAGCCTTAATTTTATCAATCATTGCATCATTTGTGCTACAATTGTCCAAAGTGATAGTAGACAATTTTGAATCAATGTTCCAATCCATCAAACATTCAACCAATGCACCACAAAGGTTTTCACTAGTATGAGGTGCAGGAACATAAATGAACCTAACATAATAAGATTCACAAAACTAGTATAAATGTGATTTACCTCAAAATGTGATTCACAAAACTATATATAATATGCAATTAATCTATTATTAGAAGAAATTATATTTACCTCAAAATGTGATTACAAAACTATATATAATATGCAATTAATGTATTATTCGAAGAAATTAGATTTACCTCAAAATGTGACTCTGTAAATTCCAGTTTCCATCAATGTAATGAGCAGTGACAGCCATATATCCCTTTTTTTGATTGCTCGAGGTCCAAAGGTCAGAAGTAATAGCCACTCTTCCTTCAAGATTTTCTAACAACTTCAAAGTTGATGATCTCTCCATATTGTATACTTTGAGTATCTCCTTCTTTATAGTATTTCTACAAGGAACTTGGAATATTGGTTGGAGAGAAGTTGAGTATCTTCTAAAACCAATATGATCCACTATTGAAAGCGGATATTCATGCAAAATAATTGCATGTGCAAGCTCTTTCTTAGAATTTTCTGCATCATAAATTCCAGTACTCAACTCTTGTTTACCTTGCATGGATCTAGGCGTAAGAATTGTTTGTCCTTTATCAGATAGGTTCAAAATCTTCTTTTTAGGACAACATCCCAAATGTCCTTTTAAATGTGACGTCCCATCATTTGATGATCCATTAAGCTTCTTTGAGCAATAATTACATTGAGCCTTATCTTTTCCGTCAACTTTGACCTTTGTAAAATGATTCCATACAAAACTTTTCTGTCTGGATCGATGACTTGTGGTTGTTTGGCTATCAACCTCCATAATATCATTTGGCGTGGGAGGAGGAACATCAACTGATTGGTTACCACTTTCATTGGGAATAGGTTGATGTGTACTTTCTTGTGAGATAGGTGGACATCCTATTTGAGAGGTATCTTCATTTTCCATAACTAATTATCCTGTAAAATAATTAAGATGTACATAAGAATAAGAATAAACTAGTATTCAAAATAAGAATAAGGATAAACTAGTACTAATAAATGAAATATATAATAAACTAGTATTAATAAATGAAATATATACGTAACCATAAAATACAGTTCCAATTAAAATCGTCTCTTTCAAATACATTTTGCACAAATCATGCTGCGTAACCATAAAAAGAAAAAAGAGTTTTACCATAAGTGTGAAAGAAAATGTTCAAAAATATTTGTTGAGTAACACTTTCTTAACAAAGGCTACCAATTGCATTAAACTTGGAGTTTATTTGTTAACTTTAAGTCATAGGACATGTACAAACTCCATGCTTCTATGATAAGAAAAGCCTCTAGCCTAAGTTTCTAACGCCTTATTTGGATACAAGGCTTTGTTTGGTCAATGAAACAAAAAAAGAATCATATTAACAAAATACAAAACACTTATTAGTAATTTAACAAAATACAAAACACAAAAAAAGAATCATATTAACAAAATACAAAATACAAAACACTTATTAATATAAACTGTGACACCATTTTCTATGGCTATTGTTTTAGTGTAACCAACATCATTTTCAATATTAAATAAAATTGAGGATGCTGATGGAGAAACATTCCATTGATCTGCGGTTAACACATGTGCACTCTGTTGCATAAATACTTTTCAAGTTTATATTCTTCAGTGAAACATTATGTAATTTAATCCCTTAGTATATATGTAATACTAATATTTCATCCCTTAGTATTACATATGTTTTAGGAATTTTTACTCGTTTTTATGTACTAACACTACGGTTTATAGATTGTTCTTGTTGGATCTATCAAAGAATCAATTATCAAGGCAACTACCTAATTGCTGGGATAATTTGAGCGCATTGCAATTTCTAGATTTGAGTGACAACACTTTGTCCGGTGAAGTGCCATCCTCGATGGGATCATTACTTGAACTTAAGGTATTGATATTGCGTAACAATACCTTCATAGGAAAGTTACCCGTCTCATTGAAAAATTGCATTGAACTGATCATGCTTGATGTTGGAAATAATAGATTCTCAGGACCAATACCGAATTGGTTAGGACAACAATTGCAAATGTTAAGTTTACTAAAGAACCAATTCTATGGAAGTCTCCCTCGGAGTCTTTGTTACTTAACAAACATTCAGTTGTTGGATCTCTCGGAAAACAATCTATCAGGACGAATTTTCAAATGCATGAATAATTTTTCTGCAATGTCTCAAGATGTTTTATCAGCTATTTCCACAGAATCCGTTTTATATTACACAGTTACCTATAGAGAGAACTTTGAAGGCTTTGATATTATTGCATTGTTGATGTGGAAAGGCACAGAACAACAATTCAAGAATAATAAGCTCATTTTGAGGAGTATTGATCTTTCAAGCAATCAATTGATTGGAGAGATTCCAAAAGAAATAGAAAACTTGATAGAATTAGTCTCGTTGAATTTATCAAGCAACCATTTGACCGGAAAAATCACTTCAGAGATTGGAAGATTAACATCACTTGAATTTCTTGACTTGTCGAGAAACCATTTATTTGGCCCAATTCCTTCTTCTCTAGCTCAAATTGATCGTCTGTCCTTGTTAAATCTGTCTAATAACAATCTGTCTGGAAGAATTCCAATAGGCACGCAGTTACAAAGTTTTGTTGCGTCAAGTTATGAAGGGAATGCTGATCTTTGTGGGAAGCCACTTGATAAAAAATGTCCGGGAGATGAAGAAGCCGCACACAAGAAACCAAAAACAGTTGAAGAAAGTAGTCCAGAAGATAAAAAATCAATTTATTTGAGTGTGGGATTGGGATTTATCACAGGATTTTGGGCACTGTGGGGATCTTTGTTTCTCATCAGGACTTGGAGACATAAATATGTCTTGTTCTTGAATAATATAGTTGACAGAATTACGAGTTTATGGCGCTGAATGGAATTAAATTTCGAAGGTAGCTTAGAGGTTTGCAGGTAACCTTTTTCTTTTCCGTCTTTCGCTCTAGCTTACGTATTATTTTCAAGTTGCTCAGACATGATTCATTTATTTCTATGATTATAATTTTCACAGGAAAAGTTAGTCTTAGCATGCAAAGAAGCTGGCAGTTAAACGTATCCCCGCATGAAAGGAGACTAGCAAGCCATTCACAAAACTCCATGACAGCAGGAACCCGGTAGCCAATAACAGATGAGCATAAAGGTTGCTATAAAATTTCACATTCTAAGAAAAGATAAGAGATATTTTCAGGAGCTTTATAACAGAGGGAGCAAGTAACAGGTGACAATAAGTTAAACAAAAATGCTCGGTTCCGGAATGCTACTGACTTGAACTCTGTTACTTGAAGTTTTAACTATAGAAAACCTCATAGTGAATTTAACAACCTTTACTAGTCCAAAAGTGCAATATCACATTAGAAACCGTTGAGAGTAAAAGGAATCTTCCACCTTACAATACAACAAAAGTTTATATGATTCCATAGTATCATAAAATTATCTATTTGGACTTGGGATCTATTTCAAGACTATATATATTTTGGATGAACTTTCAAATTCTCAAGACTATAGCTATATACACACACACACACTAAAATAGCTTATACACACATTATAATAGCTAGCATAGACACAACATACAACTATTCTATAGCATGGAAAGTTCTTTGTCACGCCTGTTTACATTTGAATTCTCATTTCTCACTTAGAAGTGTTATAATTCAGGTTTTGAATCCATAGTAAAAATGATTTAGCATTGATAAAGTAGTTTATCTTTCCAAAAAGAGGAAAAATTGTGTGGTTCTGCTTCTTTATTATCAGTAAATAATATCACAATTCACAAGTTATTTGCATCTAAGCAACATGAGAATATTCATACATCTATTGACATTATAGCATTCATATGGAGAAATTAATGATAATTACATCTGAAAAAATTTAAAATCAACATCAACTAACCTTAAAATCAATCGGAGAAAATGCACCGTAGCGAAGATCGAAAAGAGATTTCGCAACAAGGATCTGTTATGACAGAAATCGTGTCAACCGGAGAAAGAGATTCTTCACATAAATTTTACTACATTGAATGAGTGATTTTGTGAGACTTTATTCAAGAAAAAACAATTACCTCAAGTATTAGGTTTTGAGAAATTCGTGAGCGATTTCGAATGGGAAGGTGTTGTTAGGCACCCTTCATTGATGGGATGATGTTGTGGTAGTGGTGATGGCAGCAACGCCGTCGGCCGTTGCGGACTTGCGGTGATTTTGCGTTGAGATTTGAGAGAAGAAGATGAGACTTGAGAAAATGCTTCTAAGAAGTGAGAAAATAAAAGTAACAGTAACATAAAAATAATTAAAATAAGGTTATTATAGTAATTTTATTATTCGGGGCGGGGCGGGTGCGGGTGCGGGCGGGTCTCAGTGTCTTACCGCCCCCGCCCCCGCACCCGTAGTTAGAAACCGGGTTTTACCCGCCCCCGCACCCGTACCCGTTTTAGCCGGGTTTTCCCCGTTAATTTCGGGGCGGGTCCGGGCGGGGCCCAGCGGGTCTGGGTTTTTTTGCCATGCCTAATTCCTTTAGAGTGGTAGAGGGTCGGGGTTTTAAGAAAATATGCAAACAACTACAACCTCAAATGACTATCCATTCAAGGAGGACAATTGCTAGGGATTGTTTTCAACTTTACCAAGCAGAAAAGTTAAAAGTTAAAGCCTTTTTTAAATCTAATTATGCTAGGGTTGCACTAACCACAAATTGTTGGACTTCAATTCAAAACCTTAGTTACATGGCCATGACTGCACACTTCAATGACACTGCATGGAACTATCATAAAAAGATTATCAATTTTAGTTTAGTTCCAAATCACAAGGGTGACACCATTTGGAAAAAAGTAGAGGATGTTTTGAAGGAATGGAGGCTAAGGAAAGTGTCAACAATCACCCTTGACAATACATCATGTAATGATGTGGCTGTTTCTTACCTGGAAAAAAGACTAAAGAGTAAGAATGCTTTAATTAGTGTCGGGAGTTTTTTGCATATGAGGTGTGCTGCCCATGTCTTAAACTTGGTAGTGAGAGATGGACAAAAATATCATGAGTTGTCTATTGAAAGTGTTCGGGATGCTGTTAGGTTTGTGAGGTCCTCACCACAAAGAGATTTAAAGTTTAAGGAGTGTATAGAAATTGTAGGCATAACATGTAAAACAAAACTTTGCCTTGATGTTTCCACATGGTGGAATTCCACTTACTTGATGTTGGATGCCGCTAAGAAGTTCCAAGAAGCATTTGAAAAGTTAGAGGATGAGGATCCCGGGTACATGGAGTTTTTTTACCTTTCCAGTCCACCATGTTCTACTGATTGGGAAAAAGCTAGGGCTTTTGTGATTTTCTTGAAAACATTCAATGAAGCAACCAAATTGTTCTCTTCTTCGCAAGATGTATCATTACATGTAGCCTTTCATAACTTGTATTACATTTTGTGTAAGCTTCAAGAAGCACTTTGAACATTAATACTTATGTGGCTCTAATAGTTTCAAACATGAGAACCAAATATGATAAATATTGGGGGGATGTTGAAAAAGTGAATCATTTTCTCTATTTCGGAGTGATCTTTGACCCTAGGTTTAAGTTCAGTTATGTTGCGTGGTCTTTCAATGATATGTATGGTGTTGATAGTGAACTTGCTAAGAAAAGTGTTGAGTGTGTCAAAAAAAGTCTATTTAATCTGTACAATTGGTATAAATTTGAGCATGAAAAAAATGTTGGGACTTCCCTCTTAGATGCACCAGCAAGTAGCACTACCCTTGAAGAAAATGTACCCAAACTAGAAAACCGTCGCTTTTTACAAGGGAATATGCTTATAAACAACACTTGAAAGAGAAAGACACAGTTGATAATCAAAATGAACTAGAGAAGTACTTAGGTGACCCGTGTTGGGGAGATGCTGAAAATTTTAACATTCTGAAATGGTGGAAGGAGAATTCGACATGTTATCCTATATTAGCTACTTTGGTTAGGGACGTTTTGGTAACACCTGTTTCAACTGTAGCATCCGAAAGTGCTTTTAGCACCGGGGGAAGGATTTTAGACGTGTATAGGAGTTCTTTGAGTCTAGAAATGGCCGAGGCGCTTATTTGTACTCAAAACTGGTTAATGCCTTCCGACGAGAACGACCTAAAAATATTTGATCTGCTTGAAGAATATGACATAACTGATTCAATAGTTTCAGGTACTTTGTAAATCATTTGTCTTTTTTAAAAAAACTTGATAAATTTAAGCCTCATCTCATTACAACTTTATGATATGTTTGTAGAATTTCAAATTGGTTGTACTGTTGGAGCAGCTGCTCCTGGGCAGGCTAGGCCTGTTTAATTAACTTATAGGTATGAGAATTTTTTTTATGGTTATTTGTTGTTTAATTAACTTCTGAACATCTTTTTAATTAATTTCTAAACCATGAATTTAACATTTTTTTAAAATATTTGTTGTTATTTGCAGCCACTTTTTGGATTTTTTGGAGTCTTCGGTGACTCATAATATTAAAGCCATTATAATTAGTAAGTTAATTTTGAAGCCATGACTCGTAACATTTTGGGCAGCCACTTCTGGTTCCATCTTGGGAAGCCACCACCACCTCACCAAGTCGTTGCCATCGTTGTTTCGTCATCTACAACCACATAGCGCCTCTAATGTAAGTGCATCTTCGTTCTCTTTCTCGTTTTATCTATTTCTATCTCCTTCTATTTCTCTTTCTTCATTCTCGTTCTCTTTCTCTCAGTCTCTGTTTCTAACTCTTTCTATTTCGCTCACCAAGGCAACTCATTCTATTTCTACATAATTATATTGTTTGTTATGCTAATTTATGATGTTTTATTTTATTAGAAGATGGGAATTTGCAAGGAGATGAAGAAGTGAATTTGCAAGGAGCTGGAGAAGGGAGTTTGCAAGGACTTGGAAGTGCTAGCTTGCAAGGAGTGATTCAAGGTATGTTTGTGTGTATTGATGGTTGTTATTCTTTATTTATGTGTTTAAAAATTGAGCATTAACAATGTTTTTTGGAATAAGCTGGACTTTTGAAAACTATTTGAGGTGTATGTGTTTAACAGTGTTTAGTGTTTAACTGTTGGTGCTTTATTAGTGCATTCTGGTTTGAGTCATTCTGAATTCATTATGGTTTGCTGATTGTTTAGTGTTTAACAGTGATAAAATTATATATGGCATGTTACATGATGGTAAAGTCAGCCAACAACAAGTAAGAAGGAGGAGAAGCAATTTCTGGTGGATTTTGGGTAGGTTTTTATTGGCTGACCGTTCTGTTATGTTTGTTTGTTTTAATTATGTTGGATTTTGGGCAGGTTTTTGTTGGATGATTGTGCTGCCCGATTTATGCATAATTGTACCTTGAGAATATACGATTAGTAACTTTTGTTATCCATTTTGAGGTGAGAAATCTATAGTTTACTGCATATTGAAGTATTTTCTTATTAAGTGTAAAAAAAGAAAAAACAATAAGAAAAAACCACTATTGGTTCACTTTCATTACATTCTCGAAGACACAAATTCAAAGCCAAAAAAAAACAAAGGATCATATATTTATATATTCAACCTGACATCCTATATTGTACACAGGACCACTATTGGTTCACTTTCAAAAACCACTACTCAAAAAACAGTACGATATGAAACAATATTTTCTTTTCATTTTGTATGCAGGTTGTGAAAGTGTCAAGGGGTTTGGATACAACAACAATTCCATCCTTGGAATAATAGCTCCCATTCTGGTATGCAAAAAATTATTTGAAAGATCTTGCATAATTGTGTTTACAAGCAAAAGCTTTGTAGTATATTATTTCTGGAAAAAACACTTCTCTTCTCTTGCAGATTGAGTGAGAATGCATAAAGCTTACCGAGGGCGTTTAAGTGCTGGAAGTATGCTGATGGACATAA